TTTCTCCAGACCCTACACACTTAACTCACAAAAGTTAGCCCTCCAGTACTTCTTATGTGGATATTTGCCATGACTGATAAACTTTGGCTTTCCCACTACCTAATAGTCATTTCTCGAGTTTAAATTATTTAATTGTAGGCTTCTCACCTCGTAAAGGAAACCTTTTAAAGTAAATTTAAAAATCTGTTTTAAAAAGGGATCATCTATCTATGTTGCACACTTTTGCGAAGGTGATTAGCATAATAACAGTTAACCCTAGTTAGTGCCAGGCTGCTCTTTAAAAAAATTTTTTTCAGCATAACATTTTTATTAGATATAATTCACATACCATAAAAGTCACCCATTTAAAGTGTACAACTCATTGCTTTTTAATATGTTCACAAGGTTATGCGACCATTACCACTATCTAACTTTAGAACACTTCTAACACCCCCAAAAGAAACCTGTATCCATTAGCACAGACTGCCCATTTTGCATCCCAGCTCTGCCACTTACTGGCGTGGGTGACCTTGGGCAGGATACCTTATGTCTCTGTATATCTTATTCTTCATGGAAAACAGGGATTGGAAAAGAGTTTGTACAGATGAAGTGAGTTTATATATGCAAAATGCTTAGAAGAATGCTTGCCAGATAGTAAGTGCTATATAAGGATGAGATTTTATTAATATTATTTGTATATGATGTGCAGGTCTTAAGTTTTTTCTGTGTGTGACTGCATAAAATGTTAAGTTCAAAAGTAGTTTTAAAAATATTTAGCTATGTGGAGTTGAAAAGTCAGGTTCAGTTATGGAATATTTTATTTATCTTTTCAATGCTTTGCTTTTGCCATAACTTTTCTTCTCAGGATGAGTAACTGCAGTTCTTTTCCATCATAGGCCTGTTTTTAGTAAAGTACGTCAGTCTCCTAACCGATTTAGTTTGTATCTTTCTCCTTGAACATCCATCTGGTCACTTTTTTAGTTGTGATTTTTCTTTAAAGCTCTGGAATAAATCCATCTGGCAAAGTGAGGAGTGTCAGGACTGCCGAGTTTTGTGTTCGGCCTTAAACTCTTTAGGGTGCAGGGCACATGCTCTGTGGAGAATGTGCCTATTGAGTGTGCTAAAGGCGATTGAGTGTGGAAAGGACAAGAGAAGAACTCTCGATGACAGATGACTCACCATCTAGGTCCATATGGCTGTGGAGAGGCATTTTGCAAAGGGTGGGTGGAAATGAGTCGAGTGGATGTAAGCCAAGGGAACACCAAGCGGAGGTGGCGGATGGGGTTGGTGAATGCCGTGTGGTTTGGTCAGCTATATCCTCGCTAAAAAAAGTTCAGTACCACCTTGCCTTCACAGTGGGGTAAGAAATACTCTTTTATGTGTTTATATGTGCGGGTTCCCTCCCCATTTTTTCTTTAATTTCCTTGAAAGTTTAATGTGTGAGAGCAGTGTTTTAAAAATCATTTTCTTTAATTTTAAGACAGATATTCTACCAGAGGGGTGTAGTAGACAAGCCTTCTAATTTTGTTATAAAACCATATTTTTTTAGTTTCATAGAAAGGATATTTACTGCTTACCAGGTGATCTTAAGGTGAAATAGTAACCAGTGAATAATGACCACCTCTTTCAAACATTCAAATTCTTCACTTTTTAAGAGGGTTGGCAATGAGGTAGGGCCAGCAGGGTGGTATGTCAGTACTAGATTTTTTTTTTTCATTTGGAATTATAAGTGGAATATAATTTAAGCCCTTTCATGGGAGATAAAGATACCTTTAGAATGAGAGTCATTTAGTCTGTGGTTACATGTTCTATTTTTTTCATTCTGAGCAGTGTTGAATGCTAACTGGTACTTGCTGTAGGTAATTCTGGGATTTTATTTTATTTTTAAAGCAGAAGTCTGAACTGCTTGAATGTGTCCAATGTTTTGTGTGTGTTTGTTTGTGAGAGTTAAATGATCTCAGATTTGAGATATTCTAGGATACATGCTCATTCAGAGTACTCGGTATCCAAATAAAAGTGGATGCTGGGAAACTAAACTGTAGATATTGGAACCAGAGTATTTTGTCCTGATTTTGCAAATGTGTTTTACCATACTGGATGGTACATAACTGCTCTGGCCTTATCCCCTCCATATTTTTCTTTCTGACTCAGACTTTGAAGAGTGTTAGATTCTACTGGGTAACATATGCCTACAGAAAAAAGCCAATAGTCATGTATCTTCTGAATCACATTTTTCAAGAAATATCAAGGACATTTTCTTTTTTTTGTTGCCCTTGTGCATGTAGGGTATGTTTCAAAAATCAAATGTATAATAACTTTTATTTGGAAGGTCATTGAAGACATCCTCTTTGAAAAAAGAAATCAGGCTTTCT